CTGCACATATACTTGGCCAATAAACACGATTCTGATTCTGATTCTGATTCTGAAACAGTAAAGACACAGTGAGAGTGAATACTTAGCAAGTACACAGTGTGCTTTGGATGAAGCACATGAAGATTACACTATGAAATATGAAGATATCTAAAAATGCCAAATTAAGTTCTTACACAGAAACACCATTGTGTGTGGGAAAAGGAACTGGAAGTGATACTCTACCACAGAGTGAGCAAACACCAAGTGACTTTGTGTTCAGCATCAGTGATGAGGCCGACTATTGCAGAGTCAGAGAACGTCACATAAAGCACTGGGTGGAGTTGTGAGAGAAGTTTGCAGTGTAGATGGTGAGGATCAATGGAGCCAGAAGCGCTCACTGTGGGACCCCGTACTGCAGACGACACACGGCCCTGATTTCTAACATACTGTGGTCTGTCAGTGAGGTAGTCCAATATCCATGTTGTGAGGCGAGTTATCCAAACTGAAGTGGGTGCAATGATGAGCTCACCAGTGGCCGAAGACAAAAGCCACTATTTCAATGTTCAAACATTTGAATTTCTAAAACCAGCTTGTCACTTTTCTCATAAAACTTTATTATAACTATTAATTAACATAATGATTGTTTCATGATGGGAAATGTGAGAATGGCACTTTCATAATTGACTTTTACTATTGCAGGGAAAATATTCATCCTGCTCTTCTTAAAGAAAGTCCTCTCCCTTAGTCCATCAGTCCATCAGGTGGAAGTGGATCCAGAAATGAAGTCAGTCAAGCTGCCAGTCTCCATAATTCAACTGCCTAAAGAGAGTACAGTGGAGTGGATGGACAGAGAGAGAGTTTGCTGGGCTGTTAGAATGACAAAGAAAAATGTCTCCATCCAAGCTCATGTTGTGCTTTGTTTCCTCTCAGTTTACCAGGTGGAGGTGGATTCAGAGATGCAGTCTGTTCAGCTGCCCTTTAACACCACACTTCACCTGCCTGAAGATGCTAAAGTGGAGTGGAGGAACAATTACAATACAAAGGTCCACGTGTATAAGAACGGCTCTGACCAGCCTGAAGAACAGCACCAGGTTTTCAGAGACCGAACGAAGATGAATGAAGACTTGCTGAAAACTGGAGACCTCAGTCTGAATCTGAAATACCCCACAGATGGAGACAACTCCACCTACACCTGCACCGTCTACAGCAGGGAGGGAAACATCCTGCTGAGGAGAAAAGTGGAGCTGAAAGTCAGAGGTCAGTGTTGTAGATACAGGTCAAAGGTCAGAGGTCAGCACTGTACATGTGATTCAGAACCAGCTGTGTTTTGCTATTTTGTTTTTGTTTTTTTGTTTGTTTTTTTAAATATAAAGTAACCAGAACCATTTCTAACAGTGTCACGGCCAAGGGTCCAACACAAGAGACTGGACCCAAATGCACACACTACCATCAGAGGTGGTGTGTGAAATAAACTTATCACAGAGCACAAGTTGTAGCACAAAGACCTGTTATACAGGGGCAGAGGGCACTTAACCAATTAACCATGACAAAGCAAACTGTGAATCTATACTTAAGAAATGCTATGACACGCTATAAACAAAAATATGCAAGTATTAGACAAACTGATTCCAGTACAGTACCAAAAGCACTCCCAAAATAGTGATCAGTGATCTCTGAAGCTTCATTTAGAACCTAACTGCTTCAATGCATTCAATGGTTTATAAGAAAGTGAATCATTCACAGGATTTATGGAGTGTTTTGATGGTGACAGATAGCAAACCATTGATATTTCTACTGAGAGATTTGGAGCCAGCGAGGAATAGAGGAGGTTCCGTCGGTAGGAGTATTTTGAGTTGATTTTGGTCAATCAGGTGGGTTTTCCAGCTTTGTGTTCTTGTTGTTTGCTTTTGTTATGTGCATGTTTATTTTATCTAAAAATGGGAAAAACTTAAAATGTCAAAAATCTGCTTTTCATAATATAAATATCATTAAATAACTTTAGAAAGACTTCCATTTGACTCTTTACATTTAATGTTATAAAAAGAATTATTATTATAATAAATTATTGATTATTTTTTAATTAATCTTAAAATGTTAGTCTGAAAAATGTGCAGCAATTTAATTTATTTATTTTCTTTAGCTGATAGTAAAGAAAGACCACACCATGGTGCATGTTTAAACAAGGAAAGTTTATTGGTCAAAATTATTTATTAAACAAATAAAAAACATTTTGTCACCTCCCAAAAATACACATTCAAAGCAACACAACAGCGGCCCAATATCAGACAGAATTCCACTCTGTAGAGTGGGCAATCATAATGAAGAAGTTAGTTGTTTTTTTTTTTTGGATTCAAGCTGCTCTTCATATTTTTGGCCAGCAGATGTCACCAGAGAGGACTGTGTTGAAAAGCTTCGAGTAATGAACCGTTTTTCAATACAAGCTTCAGTGCTTCAGAAAGCTTCATTTGGCCATCACTGCGAAGAAGTATGATACACTAGAACAATACTATGAGAGCCACAGTAAGTTGCAATAGTTAAGTCTTACTTTGTCATAGGCCAGGGGTCTCAAACTCAAATGAGCTGCATGCCACTTCTGGCACCGTCATCTCATTGGATGGCCACTTTAGTGTCCAAGTAGTACAAAAAAACAAACACAAAAACACCCACTAATATTTCCTAAAATGTAGTGTTTTGCTTGTTTTATTTAATTCCAAATATTGTGTAAGAAGACAATATTGCAAACATGAACGCAATTTTTTTCTCACTCTTAACTATCTGAAGCCTTTCAGTTTCAGTTTCATTTGTCATATGCAAGTTAGCACAGGGTCAACATTGCAATGAAATGTAATTGACGAGCAGACAGTCACTCAGCAGTATAGTAAAGTAGTTTCATTGAACTACCAAATAAACAGCTCTTTCTGGCCAGACACGTGGCAGCACTTTTGCTACAATTTTGTTTGTATTTAACAAAATCAAAATGCAGGCATAAGCATACACATTAGTTTTCGACTGCAAGTGAAAATTGTTTTCTTTCCAAATAAATCTCTCACTGAACTAACACAGACCTCAACATGCTTGCACTCTCTTGTTACCTCGGCCAGGTCCGCAGCTCTGAACCGTGGTAAGGAGACCTCTGGCTAATACTTTGGGTTCCATGTCGGGCTCGTAGCCGGGAACGAGCTTTACTGTCTGGGTCAACTTTGCTAGCGAAAGACAGAGAGAGGCATTGAAAGGCTGCTCCAGCAGAACTTTATTGTTTCGGAGGAAAACACGAACACAGTGTAAAGTCAAGTTTTAATAGCTTACTTACAGCTGGGATCGTCAGGCACTCCTTTTGGCTGCAGTGGTTATTTTTATATTTACATGCTTCCAGCTCCCATTTCTGCTCGGTAGCACCTCGTACTTTTCGAGGTACTTTTCTTTTTTTCTGCCTCCATCACGCTCCCACACACACAGCGGGAGGGGTGGTCCCACACATTCTCCCTGCAGCAAGTACTACACCGCCCATGAGGCTACAGTCTTAAAGGGCCATGTATGTAACACTCTGCTGTCGTATTAAATCATTTTCCGTATAATAATTTTTAAAAAATATTTCTTCACATCAATATGCGGGCCAAAATAGAGATGACATGGGCCGCGGGCCGCGAGTTTGAGGCCCCTGTCATAGGCGGAGGTGAAACATAGAGGGGTAGGTGATCCAGGTGAGGCATAGAAGAAGTCCAAAGAGCAAAATCCAAGAATTTCAGAGTGCTTGCAGGGAGGCAGGCAGGCAAGTGAGCAAATACAGAGAAGCTGCGGGTAGATCAGCAACTTGAGCAAAAGGATTCTATGGCAGTAAAGAGCAACAGCATCCAGAGACTTCCTGTGAGCAGAGGAAAAAACAGGTTCAGTACGGGACAATACAATATCAAGACTCTTTTATTATGACGGCCTTCACTAAAAAGGGTTAGCAGATGATCTGGCAAGGAATAATTGTGCGTGCTGGTCTTAAATCCCAGCAGCCTTATTACTCACAGTTGGTGCCAGTCTGTGGGAACGAGAGGATTCCACCCAGGGGTGTAGAGGCCAACAACCCAGAAAGCCTCAGAACTCACCCAGAACATGGCACACAGATCTTTTCAGAGAGTTAGTTATATATTCTTTCAGCTGTGTTTATTTTTTTTTCACCGTCATGAAAACTTATTAAAACACATTAGTTCACAGAAGTAACAACAGCTGTTCTCACTCAGGACTTTGATGAAATATCTCAGCTGTCTGAGCTGAATGTCACACATACACA